AAAAAAAAAAAAGGGGGGGTGCCTGGGTGGCTCAGTTGGTTAAGAATTTGACTCTTGATTTTGGCTCAGATCATGATTCCACAGTTTCTGTATCAAACCCTGCGTCAGGCTCTGTGCTGACAGCATGGAGCCTGCTTAGGATTCTCTCTCTCCCTCCCTCTATGCCTCAGCACCCCCCCTCCAGGATATCAATAAATAAATAAGCTTAAAAAAAAAACCTTAAATACTCTTGAGAGACCATTCATGTTCTCACAAATGTCTCCTTTAGTGGTGAGAACAAAGCTACAATTTAGTGGACATTAGATCTTCCAGTGAGCATCCTCATCAACTTTTGAGGTGACTATGCCCGCTGCTGAGGGCTATGTTGGTGAGATGAGATCTTTGGTGTTTTGCTTTCCCACGTGGAAGTGGACCCAAGAGACTCCGTTTCAACTCCCTCTTTCATTCATCAGCTCAGGCCATCCTAGCTTGGCACGTCTCTGGCCAAGGACTCTGAATCTTAGACCTAGGGATTGAGCACAGAAGAAACAAATAGTTAGACAGCATTCACTCACTCCAGTGGCAGGGCCTTATGCTCAGTGGAATGGACATTTTTCTGTGGTTACCTGCTTCCTGCTTCTCCAAGGCTTCTTTGTAGTCCTCTCTGCTCTCCCATACTCTTTAGAATAGGTTCTCTTTTTTGTTTAAGTAGCCAGAGTTAGTTTGGGTTGCTTGCAACTAAAGAATCTTTAATGATACACATAGGGTGAAAACCTAAACCATAACTAGTTATTATTTAAGTCCAAAAGATTTATTAAATCCCATTCTGTTAAGACATTGTATAAAATTTGAATTTTAAGTTAAAAAATACAGTGTAAAAAATATAACCTAGGGGCGCCTGGGTGGCTCAGTCGGTTAAGCTGCCGACTTCAGCTCAGGTCATGATCTCGCGGTCTGTGAATTCAAGCCCCGCGTCGGGCTCTGTGCTGACAGCTCAGAGCCTGGAGCCTGTTTCGGATTCTGTGTCTCCCTCTCTCTGACCCTCCCCCATTTATGCTCTGTCTCTGTCTGTCTCAAAAATAAATAAACGTTAAAAAAAAATTTTTTTAAATATAACCTAAATTGTATATAAAACATTACTATATAGTTCTATATATATAATTCTATATCATATATAAATATATATATATAGCTCTATTTTATATATAAATATATATAGTTCTATATACATATAGTTCTATATTGTATATAAATATATATTTTAATTAAAAACAAAACTAAGAATGGAAAAATGATCCTACCATTCCAACACAACTATTTTGGATTGATTAATTATTTTTATTCTCAATGCTCAATGTAGAGTTTGAACTCAAGACCCTGAGGTCAAGGGTCCTATGCTTTACTGACAGAGCCAGCCAGGTGCCCCATCAACACAACTGTTTTTATGCTTGTGTTTTCCCTGCCAGTTTAAGTCCACATATACCTATTTTTTTAATCTGATTGAGATCAGCTTCTTTTTCAACATTTTTAAATGCTACTTCCCCCCCATCAGAAGACTGAAGTTGGGGGAAAGGCAGAAGGTGAGGTCGTTTACAAAAATATTTCGAGAAAACTTTTTAATGAAAAAAAGTTTGAAACCCTGTTGAGGTGAGCCATGGTTGCCCAAATGGTCTAACCTTGTTGGTTCAAAATACTACTAGCCTCTTTTCTCCCCTCCCAGTCAACTATTTTTTACTAAAATTGCATAACAAAGGAGCATTTGTATTTTAAAGATACTGATACCAACTTGTCCACCGAGGTTTAAAAGAAAAGGAACTATGTGCTTATTGTACATGGCTTGGGTGCAAAGAGATGGTGTTAGTCACCTTCTGGCTGGGTGCCCATGTGCCTGAAGTCTGTGTGTTGGGGTGACTGGCAGGGCAACAGAAAGGAGGAGTTAACTGACCATTTGTCAGCTTTACGATATTAAAGCTGAATTGAAACAACTCTGACTCTCTCACATTTATGCCGAGTTTGTCATGGTTAGAAAAAATGCAATTCTCTTGGTCTACCATCTACGATCTATAATTTACCTGCTGTCTATTTTCCTGAAACGTGGAGTGACCATGTTTAATGATAATAGCACATGAGATTTTAGGTATAATAGCAAAAATAACTGAACCTGGAGTCATGAGCCATGGGTTCCAGTTCTGGCTTTTTTTTTCTTTAAGTTTTTATTTAATCTCTATACCCCACATGGATTCAGACTCACAACTTCAAGATGAAGAGTCACCTGCTCTTCCAACTGAGCCAGCCAGGTGCTCCCTGGCTCTTTGTTGAAATAGTTGAAGCCTGGATGTTCTGCAATTCCTCTGCTTCTTCATGCTTCATCTGTCAATTCTTTTCATTCCTTTGGGGTTCCAGTTTTCATCTGCAAAATATGTTGGGTTTTATAGTTGTATAATGTTCTTGTATATTTTATGTGCAACTCATACCAACCTTGAAAAGTGGGGCAAAAATGGTCATCGGTCTCCAATGAAAGAAACTGGAGCTCACAAGGCTATTCATCTTTTAATGCAAGATGTCTTGCATCGTTTAATTAGTGGTAGATCAGGGAATCAGGTACAAACCTTGATGCATTGTTATCTGCTATATACCAAATTCCCCCAAACTTAACAGCTTAAAAAAAACTTTATTACCATACACATTTTTTTTTTTTTTGTGGGCCAGGGACCTGCAGACAGCTTAGCTGGTGGTTCTGGCTCCAAGTCTCATTAGATTACATTCAGGCTTCTGTTAGAACTGCATTTTCATCTGAAGGCTCAACTGGGGGAGGTCATGCTTCAAAATTCACTTATGTCATAGGTAGTAGGTTCCATGGCTGTTGGCTAGAGACTTTAGTTCTCTATCACATGGGCCTCTCCACAGACTACCCAAATCTCCTGCCCATGGGACAGCTTGCTTCTCCCAGAGCAAATGATCTGAGAGTGTGTGCGTGGGAGAGAAAGCATGCTCAAGACTGAAGCCATAGTCCTTTATAACCTAATGTCAGAAGTGATACATTATCATTTCTGCCATATGCTATTGGTTACACAGACTCACCCTGGTAGAATTTGGGAGGAGTTACACAAAGGTATGAAGAGTAGGAGACAGGGATCATTAGGAGCCACCTTAGAGGCTGACTACCCCATTCTGCCATTCTACCATGTGTTCACATTTTAAAAGACATCATTCAGTTGATAGCCTAGGGTCAGTGAAGTCTCAGCAAAGAAATAGAAGAGATGAAAAACCAAATTGAAATTTTAGAACTAAAACATAATGGAAATGAAAAGTTTACTAGATGAGCTCAACAGCAGAATAGAGCAGACAGGAAAGAATTAGTGAACTTGAAGATAGAACAGTAGAAAGAAACCGTTAAATATCTAGATCCAACTACCAATTTACAGAAAATGAAGAAGATAGATAAAAATGTTAAACTACACTTCAGAGATGCGATCAGCAAAATCCAGTCTGTGAGAAACTCTGGAAGACAACTCTATCTCCTCATTGAGTAAATTCCAATGAAAAAATTGCACACGAGGGAAACTTATACAGACTTAAAAGACTATTAACTATGGGGTGCCTGGGTGGCACAGTCAGCTGAGCATCTGACTCTTGGTTTTGGCTCAGGTCATCATCTTGTGGTTTGTGGGTTTCAGTCCCATGTCAGGCTGTGTCCTGACAGTGTGGAAACTGCTTGGAATTCTCTCTCCCTCTTTATCCCTCCATCATTTTCTCTCTCTAAAAATGAACAAACTTAAAAAATATTGACCATCCAGAATTTGTGGATATTAGTTCTATTATTGCAACAAATGAATGTAAGAATAAATAAAACACATGACGTTTATGAGACAATTGGAAACTTGAACATTAAAGAAGTGTTATTTTTGATATTAAAGAAGTGTTAATTTTTTCAGGTTTAATCATGTTAAGGTTACATTAAAAAGTCCTTAATTTGGGGGGCACATGGGTGGCTCAGTCGGTTGAG